TCAGGATTGGGTATAACTCCACAAGCAACAAAAAGCACACCCAGACTTGATAATTCTGTATGTGTTGAAGAGTTCAATAGAAAGAGGGGTGTTAAATGATGACAAGATGCACTAAACACCTACAAGGACAAAATTGATCCTCACTCTGATTCTTTGCAAAAAGAGAATTACCAAGGCTATAACAAGTCAAAATTCAAATAAGAGACCAGAATAAAATTGAGATGATTTATTTACAGACAGAATGATTAATGTTACATAAAACTTTGTACATGAAAAAATGAAATTAAAATGTTTTTATAGTAGACTATATTCCCTTGCTACTTGATAAAAATAAAAACAATTTCCACCTATTGGTGAATTTTACAAATTAGTACTCCAAGATGTTACAGCACTTTAATTTATCTTCCTTCAACTGAAAATAGAAAACAATTTAATTAAATGGTAAATCTTGAATACATGATAATGTAAATTAAATAACCAACATTTCACATAATAATGTAAATTAAATAACCAACATTTCACATAATGTAATTTGTTGAAACGTTGTGTACAATACAACCAAGGGTCTGAATTCATACAATTAACAATGAAAGTTTAAAAGGTTCAGCTTAGATTTAAAAACGTTAAGGAATCAAAAGTAATGCCAGTTAATGGGAAGTGAGCATATGCAGAAAAGAAATTAATATCGGTCTGTAGTCCAATTCTGTCAACGAAATCGAGTTATTTCCCTTTGACCATGATTGTTTTCATAGACAACCAATGTATGAGCCAGTGGACCAATTTCTTTTAATAATTCTATCACAACATCTGAAAGTTTCTAACCCAAAGCACCAGTTTACAAGATACTTACTGTAAGAAGAGATGTCGATTTCATCAGGTAATTCAGTTATGTTGACTTCAAATCTCTCTTGTACATCGTTTAAAATCTTGGCATCATTTTCATCAGAGATCAGAGTTATAGCTAAACCCTTCGTACCAAATCTTCCAGCACGAGCTACCTAGAAAAACAGAAATATGCCACTGAAACTTGATGTTTTCCATGTGATAAACCATATTTAACATGGGTCAGAATATGATCCATTGTGTATGAGATGGTAAGATGTTGCACTAGGCCTTGTGTACTGTTACAGATCCAACAGTATGTTTTAGTTTTTCTTTGGTTTTCAGTTTCTATATTCTAACAACTCTTCAAGATGGAATTGTAACTGATCTTGTCTTGGGTATATTAATACTCCTCCATGTTCATCTCTCGTGTCAAAACCTAGAATATCTACTTACTCTGTGAAGATAGGTGTCTAGAATATCTACTTACTCTGTGAAGATAAGTGTCTGAGTCTTCAGGCATATCATAATTAAATACAATATTAACTCTTTCAATATCCATACCACGACCAAATAAATTAGTAGCCACTAAAATACGTTTCTGAAAATCTTTAAACTGCTGGTACCTCGACAATCTGAAATATAATCAAGTTTTATAATAATATAGGATAGTAAAGTTCAAAACTGTCTATTCTACTTTGGATTTTGTTTATCTATTTAGGTTTTTATTTAGTTAGATGGAAGAGGTTTGGGGAACACACAGAAATAAGAAGTCCTACCTTTCTTCCTGTGTCATGGCTCTATGTATAGCTATAGCAGGGAAATTCTGTTCTTGAAGTAACTGAGCTAGGGCCATACATCTTTGTACACTCTTGACGAATATTATCACCTGTAATT